GCTCATGTGGGCATTTGGAACAGTTGTGACTGACCAGCCACACGTTGGTGGTAATATTTCCGAACCCAGGGATTCTCGCCAATTAGACGTTTGAGGCTTAGAAGCCCTGAAGCAAAAATCAGCCGCCCGCCTGTCTCCGGCCACATCGCCAAAGCTTCCTGCTTCAAGTTGCTTCATTTCCCAAGAAAATGATTCTCACCCGCTGGTCCTGTCTCCAGATTACGTCCTCAGGATCCTCAGTGACACGTGCTTGGAAGCAGTAATAAACTGCCAGGAGCATCCGACTGCTCTCGGGTTTAAGCATCTGAACAGAGAAAACGTACAAGGTGGGTGTTCGTTCTGGAGAGAGAAGACGGCCCACAATTTATTCCGAAACGTATCTTATTAAGGAAGGGTCTTTTTACGCAGCCCTGCTAAGCGATGCCTTCCATTTCACTTCATGAAACAGATGAGCCCAGTATGTCAAGTTCAGAAAGTCACCACGACGGCCATGGGGAAGCTGGGACGTCCAGGAATAAAGGCGAGCGTGCACTGGCTTCGGGCTATTTCCTTATGTCATGGTCATGAGTGACGACAGGGATGTTCCATTAAAGTTACTCTTGTTGCTCTTAATTTCATAGAGGCTGGGGATGGAGACGAGACAATGGAAAGCGCCAGGATTTCTGATGCGTGCAGGCCTTGGGAGGTTCCCCGCGGGCCCTTGGCCCCGTTGGTGACAGGGAGGCCTGGATGGTGTGACTAAGGACCGTCCCCTCCCGCGCCCTGGTTGACGGCGTCCTCAATCCAAACCCTTTGACCGCTGGGCCACGGGTGTCAGTGCCCCCTCACAGGGCAACACCTGGGCACGGAGGAGACTTCGTAATGAGCTATTTCCAACTCAGGGAGGTGGCGTGAACGATTTCAATTCGCCAAAACAATTTAAAAACCTGATTACCAGAAATCCTAATTCACTAGAATGTTTTCCCCCTCAGGGGGCCACTTTTAGGAGGAAAAGGGAAAATTGGAAGAAAATAGGTTAGTAACAAAGACTTGAGATTGGGGGCCAGTATGAGTTCCTTATCAGGGCAGGGAAGGAATATGTCATAATAATAATAATAATAATAATAATAATACCCTAGCTGGTTTGGCTCAGTGGATAGAGCATCAGCCTGCAGACCAAAAGGTCTCAGATTTGATTCCCTGTCAAGGTCACATGCCCAGGTTTTAAGATCGATCCTCAGTGTGGGGCGTGCAGGAGGCAGCCAATCAATGATTCTCATCATTGATGTTTCTATCTCTCTCTCCCTCTCCCTTCCTCTCTGAAATCAATAAAAATATATTTAAGAAAATAACAACAACAACAACCCCTATCAGAGGCAAGAGGTGGGTATTAAAGATTGAAAGATTGGAACTACCACTTCCTAGGAGACCCTCAGCTTCCCAGAAATTACATGTGCTGGTTCCCCGAGCCTAACCTTCAGTACCAAGCGACCTTGTTGCTTCATCACAAGGTCGTATTCGTGTGTGTGCCCGGAGGCTGCGGGCACTCCGTCTGCACTGCGGCCCCGGAGGTGGTATCACACCAGGGCCCCGCCCTCCAGTGCTGCAAATGTGGGTCCCTCTCGGCATTTCCCCAGCAGCTGTGGGGGTCCCCACTGGTCCCTCCAGCTCTGAGCCACTTGTAAGACGGAGCAGGGCCTCAGCCCCCACGGAGCGTGAGAGCAGGGGGCACTTCTGCGCTGGGCCCCCTTCGCGCTGCGTCCTGCCCCACACTGTCCTTGGGACACGGTGACACTTCCCAAGAGGCCCCTGGCCCCTGCCCTGCGGAGGGAAGGTTGCGCTGGCGGGCACACTTCTCAATGATGAAGAAAACCAAGTTCTTTAGATCCGTATTAGAGCAAACAGTCGTATAAAAACCATTTAGCACAGGAGCTCGAAGCCAAGTTGATTTTACGAGCTCGGGGACAGATGGCTTCATTTTGCTTCTTCCCAAGAGATGGCATTCCGTGGAAGCACAGGGTGCCTGGGGTCTGTCGAGTCGAAGGGCAGACACGGCCATGCACCCCCGCGCCACTGTCTCTAACCGCGAGGAGAACTTGATGCTGAATGTTGGTACGTTCCCATCTGTCCGTCCCCGAGGGAGGGGCTGTGTGCTCGGCATTTTCCCCAGCTCCAGTTTAAATGCTTAGTCTTCTAACCGGTAAATGCTGAGGAGTCAGACTCTAGAGACGTGTCAGTGGATCTGAGCTAAAACATACAGGCTGCCGCCCGGCCGGTGTGGCTAGGAGATGCGCATCAACCCAAGAACCAAGAGGCCACGGGTTTGTGACACTGAGCCTGAACTGGCCTGGGCGCACAAGCCGGTCTGGCAGAGGCTCCTGGCGTTGCTGGACGTGGCTGGCATCCCGAGCTCGACGGTGTTGGTGTCCGCAGCGCACCTGCCCTGTCCTCCCTTCCTCTCTCTAAAAATCAATAAAAGGGGGGGGGGAGTATAGGCTTCCACCTTAAGAACATTGGATGTTCAATTTTTTTAAATAAGAATTCTGTTAAAATGTCAGGTAGTTAATAAAAGTTACCATCAGATTAGAAAAATATATAACCAACCCTGCAGGTGTGGCTCAGTGGTTGAGCTTCAACCTATGAACCAGGAGGTCACAGTTGGATTCCCAGTCAGGGCACATGCCTGGGGTGCGGGCTCAATGCCCAGTAGGCAGGAGGCAGCCGATCAATGCTTCTCTCTCATCATTGATGTTTCCATCTCTCTCTCCCTCTCTCTTCCTCTCTGAAATCAATAAACATATTTAAATATATGTACATATATACAAAATATATTCATGTACGTGATCATAATGGTACAGAGCTCTCCTTAAGTAAAGAAAACTGCAATATCCTGAAGAAGTGAAAGCCTTTGCCATTTCCTTGGTGAGAGTCATGTTCACTGTGACACTGAGCCTGAACTGGCCTGGGCGCACAAGCCGGTCTGGCAGAGGCTCCTGGCGTTGCTGGACGTGGCTGGCATCCCGAGCTCGACGGTGTTGGTGTCCGCAGCGCACCTGCCCTGTCCGTGCCAACCCCGATGAGTCTGCCTCTCCAGCGGCCC